GAGAGAGAGAGAGAGAGAGAGAGAGAGAGAGAGAGAGAGAGAGAGAGAGAGAGAGAGAGAGGGAGGTGCATAGGCTGGATACTGCCTTGAGGTAGGTAGGGCCCAATTCACTCCCTGTCTGTAAACCTTCTGTAAGCTTTTCTTTTCTTTTCTTCTCTCTCGATTTTTTTTGATTTTTTTTTATGGTCCGGATATTTCCGGACGTCAGTCCGGCCAAACCTTATGCTTCGTCCGGGTCCGGGTCCGGGTCCGAGGTAACCCTGGAAAGGACTGTTAAATAAAGAAATGAGAATTAAGAAATGAAAATCAAGAAATGAAATTAATCAGGTTGTGTCATAAGTCTGGATCCGACTCATTGTCTTTCTGTTGTATGAATCTTACCGCCTTTCGAAGTATGGTAACGAAGAACAAGTTGGCACAGGCGGTGATGATGGTACTCGTGAAGAATGTGGGTAACTGCTCTACTTCTTCCCCTCCTATATAGAAACTTCTTCACAAATATAAGGACCTACAAACCGAACCAATGGGAGTAACTGAAAGAACTATTAAGCGCACAATCGAGATTATTCCCGTCAGTAAGACTCCCAAATGGCCAATTTACTGTATGTTCCCGCAGGAATTGGAAGAACTGAAAAAACAATTCCAGGAACTTACTGAAAAGGGATGGACGAGGTCGAGTTCCTCTCCTTACGGTGCACTTTTGTACTCTTTCTGTCCAAAAAGGAAGGTGAGCTCATACTACAGATTGGCTACTGAGGATTAAACGCGGTAACTGTTAGAAATGCCGAACCACTACCTTAGATTGATGGCTTGCTTGATCAATTGCTGGTTTGCAAGTTTTTCAGCAAGATTTATCTGAACTCAGGCTACCACCACATCGAGGCGGCCCCTAAGGATCAACACAAGACGGTGCTTCAAACCAGGTATGGTCATTACGAGTTCGTGGTCATGTCCTTTGGCCTCACTAACGTCCCAGCAACCTTTCAATGATCAATGAACGAACTCTTTCTTGAGTGGCTCGATCAGTTCGTAGTCGTCTATCTCGACCACATCCTCGTCTACAGTAAGACGTTGGACAGCCACGAGTGTGTCACCACATAGCCTTCCTGGCGCACCCACACGACACTGGGCCACCGTCACAAACCAACGCACAAGCGTTGTGACTAACCTACCACATCCAGCGAAGCACCAAACAGCTATTGCGAAGGAGCCGGCGGAGCGGGGCTCGAACCTGCTCCGATACCAAATTGCAAGGAAAATGAGCGATAGTGAAATGACAGAAATCCAGAATGAAAAATCACATTGAAAGCCAGCAAGTCCAACGCTGTTCAGAAAGCAGATATGCACTGATACTGCACCAACGGAGAACCAAAACACTGAATCCGAATGTAAATGAGAGCATACTCTCGCCACCACCAACATTTGTATCCAGAGTCCTCCCTCCTACTTGGAGCTCAGCGCCCAGACTACAACACTACAATCACACAGCTACCAGCAGCATACGAATTGACAATGCATCCCGTTGACGTCAGCAGCAACAACCGAAGTACATGAAGATGTCAACCTTGTAGACCATCGCCAAGACCAGGTACGTGTCCTCACATCATCACCCTCATCTCTCTCACTCTCTCCCTCGTCTTCTCTACCCATGTCTTGCCTCTCATGCACGGAGGCCACTACCACCTCCACTGGCTATGTCCAAGCCGAGCCCCAGCTACGTGGGGCTGCCTATGGCGCTGCCCTCAGCAGCACCCTGCCTCTCTAACCGCCTGCGCGAGCCTGCACCTCAGCGCTAGCGCAGCAGCCAGCGAGCGCCTGCTCCAGCAGCGCTGCCACATCTACACACGAGTGCCCGAATGGCCAGCCCTGAGCCCTGCCCTTTCCTATATGGAAAGTGGCGGGCGCTTCCCTTTGCTTCCCCCATGTGAGACCGAGTTTCCAGTAGCTTCAGTCTCGACCAAAGTGTCTGCGCCCAGGCCCGTTCAGACAGTGGCCTGGGACCAAATTGGTTAGGAATGCCCAACCACCCAGGCGCAAGCGTGCGATGCTCCCTGCTTCGACCACGTTGCTGGAACAGCCTGGATGGCTCACGAAATTTTGTAGATTCTCGCGAGCAAGGCGGATGTGACCAACTGGCGCGTGGCAACCGTCTGGCGCTGACCAAGATTAGCAAAAATTGACGAGTTCAGGGTCTCGCCTTCACTTCGGGCGGGCACGTGCCTGATGCAGGGCCTTACGCGGTTATGCCGAGGGATCAAACCCTCGCATCGGTGTTTTTGGCAACTTTTTCGCTACTGGTCCAAAGAAGTTGAAACTGAATACAGATATACCCTAAAGCACATACATATCACCTGAAAAAAAAAAAAAAAACAAGAAAAAAAGCAAAAATTCAGGAAATATGGCAGTTTCGGTGAAAATTTTGCCGGCAATGACACCACCTATTAAGTTATTAACCATTCGTGGGCAAGGGATTTAGAACAACTTTAATGTTTTCTTGGAGAAGTGCAAAGGGACGAGAGTTTGAGCTGTGCATCACTAGCATGCCATTGCAAGAGAGAGAGAGAGAGAGAGAGAGAGAGAGAGAGAGAGAGAGAGAGAGAGAGAGAGAGAGAGAGAGAGAGAGAGAGAGAGAGGAGTAGAAGGTTGGAAAATCACCTGCTCTTTTGCTGAAAGTCCTCAAGACAATGAGGTTTGGAAATTGTTTGACCCAAGACATGCGTGTTTCTATTTTTGCAAATTCAATATACGCCTCGTCAAGGATGACCAGGACTGGGAGCTCTAGAATTTCAAGCAGATCGTCGTCACCCAGCACACTGACAAGAGGGAAAACAAGGCACAAGAACAGAGTACACAATAAGAGAAAAGTGCAACGAGACTCGTCTCCTTTCTTACTCAGCATGCATGAAAACATATGGCAATCACACTGGCGCCAGGCGCCCACACAAAGCACAGAGATATCGAGGCCAAGAACACAGTTCAGATTCAAACTTGCTCCGAATGGCTATGGCGCCTGTGCGCCTTCACAACACCCCTCCGACACTGTATCCCCAGCATCTCTTCACACACACGCTACTCTGGATCTCCCTGGATGTCCCACACTTGCACACACTTCACAGAACACTCACACACATACACACTATAGCCTATCTGTAACCTACCGCAGCTATGGCTGCCTTCTACCTTCCCTACTAACTAGCGGCTATGGCCGCTTCGTCTCCTTCACAGCCCACTTCTCCTTCGGGCACCTGCAGACCTCCTTGCACAAGACGCTCAGGCAGCGCTTCTGCACGGCTCACAGGCAGAATCAATCCATGAGTGGACGCTGCCTCTTGATTTATACTTCGGTTGGTCGCTGGTCTGCTCCTTTCCACTGAGCCCAGGGTGCACACAGTCCCACATGGTACTTGCTGACTGGACAAAGTGCGACTGGGACTGGATACCGCTGACTAGGCGAGGTTGGACTGCCCACTTGCCCACTTACCTCTAGCGTATCCTGAGCAATTCTCGAAAGGTCAGTTCCGGACGTTCCGGAAGTCTGTAGACTTGGCCTTTCAGGACTGTAGAAGCTACGACCTGGACCTTTCAGGACTGTAGCAGCTACGCCTTCTACACAGCTACGACCCCTACTTGGGTTCAAGACCCGACGACCACACTAACCTGCAACAGACAACAGACGACTACCAAAACACAGGTCACAGGTTCAAACACACAGGGGTCGACTTGGTACTGTACACGGGTGAGGACAAGGTCTAGGGATGGAGCCCTGAGATGTGCATCTGCTACTGCAAAGGTAAAAACTGTTTCAGAAGAGCAAGCACTCAAAAAAAAACTTCAAACAGTGATCATGCTGGGCCAAGAAATCGGCACAGAAACTAAGTTCCAGATTTGGATGTCATTCATCAAGACACTTCGGTTTCCTACCTTCTTCACCCGAATACGACGTACGTCGCACGGTCAGTATAGCTGTATTTGGGGCATCTTCTTTCAGTCTAAATACAGCAATAATGACCATACGATGTATTCTGGTGACGAAGGTAGTGTGGCCCCAACAGCCGATGTTCCTATTATGACATTATTATTATCATCGTAGTTCCGCATCAGCGTTCAGCACCGCCGTTCGCATCTCTGGGGTCTGCCTCACAAGGGATGCTTTGGTGTCTTTCGCAGAAGAGTGCTCTCTCTGGTCGAGCTCGTCCAGAAAACGCCTTTGGAAGTTTTGTCGGAAACCATAGTCCTAAGGACATGTTTCTTTTTCACATTGTTCACAATGGAAAGCTAGAAATCCGATTACTTGTGTTGCAAGCCAGGTAAGGTGGAGAGGGGGGAGGTATGTGGCTAAGAATGGTGAGATAACTGCAGCAGTGAAGTCATGTAGGGGGGGAGACATTAGAGACTTCTCTCCTACCAGCCGAAAAATGTTCTTTCCTTACCTGCCATTCCCCCCCGCCCCCCCCCAAAAAAAAAAAACAAATAAAAGAAAAGAAAAGAAAAGAAAAGAAACGTTGTCCTTCTGGACATCCGTTAAAATAGGAACGATACAGAGAAGATTAGCATGGCCCCTGTGCAAGAATGACATGCATAAATCGAGAAACGGTCCAAATTCTTTCCAAAAAAGAAAAGAAAAGAAAAGACAAGAAAAGGAAAGGAAAGGAAAAAAAATGTTATTTCCTTACCTTCCATCTGGATTGTTCGGCGATGTGAGGAAGATAGCCTTGGGTTCATGTTCCTTGACTGCCGTCTTGATGCCTTCTACGTCAATCTGGAACCCTGGAAGCCTGGGCACTACAAAAAGACATGTCGCTGTTAGGATTTGCGCACGGCGTGTACGTCATTTCAATGGTTGCATGCAGCATGTCGTTGAAAACAGCAAGTTATAACTCGGAACCTTCAATGGCGTTCCCTGGCCTTGGTTAGCTGTGCATTCCATGAGATTTCCATGCTTCTTGAAGTCCAAAGATCCAATATTAAATTCCCCCTAGGCGGGAGTTGTCTCTATGTCTCCCGAGCCGGCCTCGGAGGTGCGAGCCTCCTGTTGCTCGGTTTGACCAAGTGCTTTTCCACTCGCATTTCGGCAACGCTACCCTTGGTTGATTTACTCCATAATAAATACAGGAAAGCAAGACGCAAAGAAGTGGGCGTCCGGTCTCCTTCCTGTATTTATTATGGAGTAAATCAACCAAGGGTAGCGTTGCCGAAATGCGCGTGGAAAAGCACTTGGTCAAACCGAGCAACAGGAGGCTCGCACCTCCGAGGCCGGCTCGGGAGATAAAAGTCGGAACGAGTGAGGATAACGAACTCGATTATGTAGTGGCTGAACGACATGATTCTCTAAGTCAGCGAGTAATGGCTTGGACTCTTAGGAATGGTTCTGGTGGTGCATATAACATCAGGCTCAACTCTGTAAACGTCAGCGGGCTCGCACTGTATTCTTGGGCAATCTTATTTTATTTATCAAGATGGCGACGCAAAAACCGATGCCTTTCCACTTGGCTATACTCCAATGAGATAACGCGACCGACCAACGGCCTCAATGTCTTAGCTTAGAATTGTGTTTTTGTTTTTCAACTATTTGAATCAAATGCCTAGTGGCATGATCAAAGCGGATGATCGTCAACTTTGTCCTCCTTCACGCTCTCAAATGAAACAATCCATGGGACTCGAACCCACAAGGCGCAAAGCGCCGCCACATCCTAAGTGTGGTGCGTAAACCAATTTCGCCATAGCCGTTTGTTTCTGGAATATGTATACAAATTAGTTGCCTGTTCATGTTTCAAACAAATGAATCGAGTTTTCAGCCCTGTTTCAACCACCACCATGTTATCTTGTATTTGTTCCACTGAACATTGGAGCAAATCCTTGTTTTTCGGAAGCATCCTGTATTTCAGCAGATAAAGATTGATCTAAACTTATGTTTTTTTTTGTCAAACGTCGTCTCCACAAGGCGACTTCAAGAATCCACCGAAGAGCTCAGGTTTCTTGACGACTCTTTGGTATAATGGATGGGACTAATTGGGTGGTTCCGGAGATTCTGACTTTTCTTACTTCTAAAATAGGTTTGACATTTTAATCGAATTTAATTAGATTAGAGACGTACAAGCGCTTTGTTGCTTGCCTCTCTACTCTACTTGTGAAGCAGCCCGCGACCTCTTACGGGCCATCAACAAAACGAGAACATACAATACAAAATGAAAAACGAATGGTTATTTCAGATTGCTTATATGAACGCTGCAGAGCCTTGGCAACAGTTAAAAGTGCGGAATGAGAAATGCACACTACATTGCAAGGAACCCATCCAAAAGAAAACCCCATGTGGACCACAGAAGAGCAATCAAATCATTCACCGCCTCCGTGACAAAAGCAAGAGCAAGACGACGGATTGATAAGCAAAACCAAATCATATACCGCACGGATTCTGAACTTGTAGTCAGTTCTTCATCCATCAAAATCGATACAATCCACGGAAGATTAGCATGACCCCCGACACAAATACACTAATGTGACTTATGCAACGCCATGGCCATGGCCACGGATCCCCTTCATCATCGGGCCACCAAAGGTTTCTTATTGCCGTGCCAAGCCTTCCTCATGAATGACCTCTTCTCCGCCCACTCACTGCTCGTGTCCCCTACGAGCTAGCTATGGAACCTGCCACAGCTCCACTTACCTCCTACTACCAGGTGATTCCTCCTATGGGCTCACGCCTTGGCAGCCATGTGGGCACGCAGCAGATGGCACCGGGTGACAGCGGGTGGGCAGCCCAGTGAGGCAACCTTGAGGGCGGCGAGGTGGCATTTGGCAGGCATGCGGAAAAGTTTATAGAGAGACGAAGATGGGGCAGCTTGGCAGGGCAGTGTCCCGTGACGGCTTTGGCACGGCAGTGTCACGTGGGAGGTACAGGGCCAATTGGTAGACAGAGCTGGACCTACTCGCCTCTTATCTAGGCCATTGGGACTTTAGTACTGGGCAGATGGTCCAGAATCCAGATCGTTGTGGGATCTTAAGATTGTGCGATTGCGCGACAATCGGAGCGGTTGAACTTGTAGGGTCCCACAGCCCGGGCTGAAGATTGTTACACTGGTGCAATGATCTTGGTCGTGGCTCAGTAGGACCGGGAACAGCCCGAATTAAAAAATTGTTACATTAGCCGTTTTTATAGTGCGGTCCAGATTTGTTACGCTGGTGACAAATTGACAATCCAATGAATCCATGCCATGGCCCAGTAGGACCGGAGATGGCCCGGACTCAAGATTGGTTAAATTAGTAGTATATAGTATATACTATATAATATTTTATATAGCGTAGGAAGATTTTTTTAATCCACATCCTACCACTATTCTTGAGTCGAGCTCAGCCACCACTTTTTGAGCCATTGTCACGATTCTGGTGACTCTTTTGAATTCAAACACGAGAGGCGGTTAACGGAGACCCAAAATTTCAGCGTTTTTTGAATGCTATTGATAAGAAAACCAGAAGCGCTTTTTAACCAAAAATTGCATCATTGCATAGAGTGCACACCATATTAACAAACCATTAAAAAAAGAAAACAAAAAAACAAAACAAAAACAGGGTGAAACAGTAAGGCAAAAGTGCACTTGAATCAAGTTGAATGACATTTTGGATTCAGCGAATTTTCAGCGTTTTTGGAAATGGTCTTATCACTGTTATCAAAGGAAATCACAATGGTCCAAATGAGACCAAATTTGGTACACAACAACCTTGAAGTAAGACAAAAACAGGCAAAAAAAAAAAAACAAAAAAAAAACACAAAATTTCACCCCCAAGGGCCCAAACCCTAATTTCAGTTTTGGACCTGTTACTCAGGAGCTGAAACTGGGGGTCCCCCGTTAACCGCGTGTGACGAGCTGCCTGTGGGAAGACAAAACACTCCCGCAGCTGACGCACGAAGTGAGACACTCAACTGAGGGGCAAGCACCGGGTCACTGAGGGCTCGCGCCCTTTCTTTTCTTTTTCTTTTCCGTTTAAGGACGTAGGCCAAGTTGGCCAACTCGTACCAGTCTACGAGAGAAATGGTCCAAAAAGCTAAAAAAGAGTCGCTCTCCCAATACAGAAAGCCTTGTCAGATCCACGCCGGAGGTGGGACCAAGAACCTCTACTCCTTGATGAAAAACGTAGAGAAAGCATGCAAAAGGAGCTCGGGAAAGCTGATTTACCCAAGCTGGGCAAGGCCCACACACTGATTCTCTTGGGCTTATACCCACCTACAACAAAGAGATGACATCCTAGAGGCTAGAACCTTTTTGAATCTACGACATGGAACAAGCGGTGTTTCATTTGGCCATTAGAAAAACAAAACATAAACACAAAACGAAAAACAAAGAAAAAAAAAGAGAAAAAAACGAAAAAAAAGAGAAAAAAAAAAAAGGAACTGCCTCCCACTGTCGTGAACCTAGTCCGAGCATGGCGAGCTCCATGGACCACAGGAGCAAGAGACTGTGACATTGCATCCTTTTAAACATTACATCCTTTTAAACAGGATCATTGCTCCAACAATTGTTGAAACAGGAGCAAAACACAGAACACTAGCAAGGCGCCTCACGCCAATCAAGAAAAATGGGAAATTTGCGACGTTATAAGTGAGTACATGGCAGTGACAGTATATCCCCTCTAGTGATATTGGCAAAGGAATTAGATATAAAATCACTGCAAAGGCGACCCCATGCCTGCGATGAGATGCCCTAAGGATCCATGGGGTGAAATCGAAGTAGTTTTTCGCCCTCAGGAGATACGAAAGTCCACTTCTCTGGTTGATTAAAATTCCAACCACAGAAAGCTACCCGAACCCCTCCACCCCATCACCCCCCGACCCATGCCCGGCCGAAAATAAAGCAACACGGCAGGATCTGCACACACGTTTTGGAGGGCGTATAAGGTGAAAAACATTAATAAATTAATAATACTATGCTAAAAGGACGAGTACACCATACATCGGCCCACATGTGTCAGCATAAACCCGCACCACTTCGGAGGCCGCCGATTTTTTTTTTCAACAGCGCCCCACACCACGCAGCCCCTCTGTGTTTTGCTTGTGGCGACAAAAACTTTCTGCAAGGCTGGGGCCGTGTACTGGCGGTTTAAGAAAAGGCATGAACGAAAAGCAGGCAAAGGTAACACTCGGTCATGCAATGGCAGTAAGCCACCATATTAACATGCCATTAGATCATCCCCAGGAAACCTATTTGCCCTCTCACGTGACCTCTGAAATAACAATATAGGTGATAGCAATATAGGCACAAGCACTCACATGCCATGAAAGCATGTCAAAGAGAGACTGAGGGGATGCCACGGAAGCATGTCATAGAGAGACTGGAGGGGGTTGCAAGGGGAGGCCCAGAGAGAGAGAGAGAGAGAGAGAGAGAGAGAGAGAGAGAGAGAGAGAGAGAGAGAGAGAGAGAGAGAGAGAGACGAGTAGAGTGTTGGAAAATCCCCTGCTCTTTTGCTGAAAGTCCTCAAGACAATGAGGTTTGGAAATTGTTTGACCCAAGACATGCGTGTTTCTATTTTTGCAAATTCAATATACGCCTCGTCAAGGATGACCAGGACTGGGAGCTCTAGAATTTCAAGCAGATCGTCGTCACCCAGCACACTGACAAGAGGGAAAACAAGGCACAAGAACAGAGTACACAATAAGAGAAAAGTGCAACGAGACTCGTCTCCTTTCTTACTCAGCATGCATGAAAACATATGGCAATCACACTGGCGCCAGGCGCCCACACAAAGCACAGAGATATCGAGGCCAAGAACACAGTTCAGATTCAAACTTGCTCCGAATGGCTATGGCGCCTGTGCGCCTTCACAACACCCCTCCGACACTGTATCCCCAGCATCTCTTCACACACACGCTACTCTGGATCTCCCTGGATGTCCCACACTTGCACACACTTCACAGAACACTCACACACATACACACTATAGCCTATCTGTAACCTACCGCAGCTATGGCTGCCTTCTACCTTCCCTACTAACTAGCGGCTATGGCCGCTTCGTCTCCTTCACAGCCCACTTCTCCTTCGGGCACCTGCAGACCTCCTTGCACAAGACGCTCAGGCAGCGCTTCTGCACGGCTCACAGGCAGAATCAATCCATGAGTGGACGCTGCCTCTTGATTTATACTTCGGTTGGTCGCTGGTCTGCTCCTTTCCACTGAGCCCAGGGTGCACACAGTCCCACATGGTACTTGCTGACTGGACAAAGTGCGACTGGGACTGGATACCGCTGACTAGGCGAGGTTGGACTGCCCACTTGCCCACTTACCTCTAGCGTATCCTGAGCAATTCTCGAAAGGTCAGTTCCGGACGTTCCGGAAGTCTGTAGACTTGGCCTTTCAGGACTGTAGAAGCTACGACCTGGACCTTTCAGGACTGTAGCAGCTACGCCTTCTACACAGCTACGACCCCTACTTGGGTTCAAGACCCGACGACCACACTAACCTGCAACAGACAACAGACGACTACCAAAACACAGGTCACAGGTTCAAACACACAGGGGTCGACTTGGTACTGTACACGGGTGAGGACAAGGTCTAGGGATGGAGCCCTGAGATGTGCATCTGCTACTGCAAAGGTAAAAACTGTTTCAGAAGAGCAAGCACTCAAAAAAAAACTTCAAACAGTGATCATGCTGGGCCAAGAAATCGGCACAGAAACTAAGTTCCAGATTTGGATGTCATTCATCAAGACACTTCGGTTTCCTACCTTCTTCACCCGAATACGACGTACGTCGCACGGTCAGTATAGCTGTATTTGGGGCATCTTCTTTCAGTCTAAATACAGCAATAATGACCATACGATGTATTCTGGTGACGAAGGTAGTGTGGCCCCAACAGCCGATGTTCCTATTATGACATTATTATTATCATCGTAGTTCCGCATCAGCGTTCAGCACCGCCGTTCGCATCTCTGGGGTCTGCCTCACAAGGGATGCTTTGGTGTCTTTCGCAGAAGAGTGCTCTCTCTGGTCGAGCTCGTCCAGAAAACGCCTTTGGAAGTTTTGTCGGAAACCATAGTCCTAAGGACATGTTTCTTTTTCACATTGTTCACAATGGAAAGCTAGAAATCCGATTACTTGTGTTGCAAGCCAGGTAAGGTGGAGAGGGGGGAGGTATGTGGCTAAGAATGGTGAGATAACTGCAGCAGTGAAGTCATGTAGGGGGGGAGACATTAGAGACTTCTCTCCTACCAGCCGAAAAATGTTCTTTCCTTACCTGCCATTCCCCCCCGCCCCCCCCCAAAAAAAAAAAACAAATAAAAGAAAAGAAAAGAAAAGAAAAGAAACGTTGTCCTTCTGGACATCCGTTAAAATAGGAACGATACAGAGAAGATTAGCATGGCCCCTGTGCAAGAATGACATGCATAAATCGAGAAACGGTCCAAATTCTTTCCAAAAAAGAAAAGAAAAGAAAAGACAAGAAAAGGAAAGGAAAGGAAAAAAAATGTTATTTCCTTACCTTCCATCTGGATTGTTCGGCGATGTGAGGAAGATAGCCTTGGGTTCATGTTCCTTGACTGCCGTCTTGATGCCTTCTACGTCAATCTGGAACCCTGGAAGCCTGGGCACTACAAAAAGACATGTCGCTGTTAGGATTTGCGCACGGCGTGTACGTCATTTCAATGGTTGCATGCAGCATGTCGTTGAAAACAGCAAGTTATAACTCGGAACCTTCAATGGCGTTCCCTGGCCTTGGTTAGCTGTGCATTCCATGAGATTTCCATGCTTCTTGAAGTCCAAAGATCCAATATTAAATTCCCCCTAGGCGGGAGTTGTCTCTATGTCTCCCGAGCCGGCCTCGGAGGTGCGAGCCTCCTGTTGCTCGGTTTGACCAAGTGCTTTTCCACTCGCATTTCGGCAACGCTACCCTTGGTTGATTTACTCCATAATAAATACAGGAAAGCAAGACGCAAAGAAGTGGGCGTCCGGTCTCCTTCCTGTATTTATTATGGAGTAAATCAACCAAGGGTAGCGTTGCCGAAATGCGCGTGGANAGAGAGAGAGAGAGAGAGAGAGAGAGAGAGAGAGAGAGAGAGAGAGAGAGAGACATGCCCGGTTGGGCAATGTACATCGAGCCAAGGATCCGCAATGTGATGAAAAGGACCGAATGGACAATGCAATGTCAGTGAAACATCAACACACAATGTACATCCTGATAAATACAAAATGCCACAAAGTAGCGCAGTGGAAGACTTAAAGCTAAGTCCTGACGTGACATCCCATCATACACCTCACATGTGAGAGGAGGAGGAGGGACCGCACACATGGAAGAAAGGTCCCTCCTTTGTACAGGCACATGGGGAGATACCACAGATAAGAGATGGGGGGAGAGGCGAGACGAAGACGGAGGCGAGGGAGAAGACCGAGATCGCAATAGAGAAGTCCAAAAATAGTCCCTTGCCGATGCCCAATCAATGTCAGCCTCAAAAATGTCGGATCAGATCCTCGGCGCTTTGCCCACAGTAACCTCTGCCTGTATCCTCTGCATGTAACCTCTCTCTCTCTCTCGCATCTGATGATGAAGAAGAAGAAGAAGAAGAAGGAGGAGGAAGAAGAGGGAGGAAGGAGGGAGACGAGAGGGAGACCGGCGAAGAAGAAGAAAATGTCACCTTCCTCGCTGTCTCACCTGCAGGTGCTACCGCCCAACTGACCGCCGTCCTGTTGTCGTCGTGTGCACGTCGCGGGCGCACAAGGAGTCCCAGCTATGGCGCCAGGTAAGTCCCCTAACGCAGGTATGGCCTCCGCCCCTCTGCCTTCCGGTGTTCAGCCTCCAACTCCGCAGCGCAGCGCTAAACAGCGCCATGCTCAACCAGCAGCGTGTCGCTCAAGAAGTGAGCTACTCTAACTGTCTTTGCCCAGCCTCAGCCCAGCTATAAGTAGCACTGGGCCTGCTGGGCGCGCCTCAGGTACTGGCCTCAAAACGGCCTACTTGGTCTGGGCCCCTACTGGGTATCCAGACCGCGCTGCTGATGCAGCGAGACGCCAAAATGCACCTGGCCTGAAAACGGCCTCGTCCCTGTGTACCTGGCTCAAGGCGTCGCCTTGGGACCTGCAGTCCGAAACGTCGTCTGCACAGACAAATGTAGGTCAACACATCACAAAATAAATAAATAAAGTTCTGCCTCACTGGTACCTGCGGCTTGTAGGGCCACCGTGGGCCTCCAGGGCGCGTGCCGGATGGCACTCAGCCTGGGGGCCTCTCAGCAACCGCCGGGCCCCTTAACTGGGGCCCATGTGCAGGTGCAGCATGTAACCCCCCCCCCCCCCCCCCCCTTCCTCCTTATGAAGTCAAGCCAGGTCGAGGGCAAAGCTGACGATCTGGAGGTGGAATCTGGACGCGAGCACGACGTGGAGCCGAAGATGCTGGCTTGCCTTGGAACTTGCCTTCGTAGTGTGCGAGAACATCCGGAGCTGTTGCTTGAAGTTCCACGCGGGTCAACCAATGGTCAGCTTTATGGGTGCAGTACGCAAAATTTACCAAGTACTCTGTTGGCCTGTTTCCGTCGCGTCGCTGGGAGATGATGTAGCCGACCTCTTGAAAACCGTCCATAGAGGGTGGGGTCTTGCGATCGTCGCCTGGGGAAATCATCATGTTCCGCTGGCGTAAAAAGAGCCAACTTGGAGCAATGAAAGACCGGGTAGACGGGCAAGTGGGCAGGCACCTGAATGACGAATGTAGGTCCCAACGAAAGTGACCGGTGAGCCGTGCTCGAACTCGAAGAGTGACATCCCAATGGCCGGATGAATGGATGAGTTTTATGCCAAATCAACACCAGGCAGCCGCTCAACCAATTCTTTTGGTCGGGAAGGATGAGAGTGCGAAGGAGAACCTGTGCGGTCTGATGCGCCCTCTCCATTTGGCCATTGGTTTGGGGGTGGCGAGCCGAACTCGGCTTGAGAGATGAGGCCCATCTTTCGACGAGCACCAACCAAAAATCGGACATGAACCGAGTGTCACGGTCGCAAACGATTTCCTTGGAGTAACCCTTGGTTCGAATCCAACCAGCGTAAAGAACCTCGGCCAACTCTGGTGCCTTGGCATGATAGCGACAAGGCAAAAACATGGCGAACTTGGTGAGTCGGTCGACCCCATTGAGAATCCCATCCACACCGGTCTTGTGCTTAGGGAACGACCCGGTGATGTCCATGGCAATCGCTTTCCTTCGGCGCAAGGGGACCGGTAATGGTCGCAACTCGCCATATGGGCGATGATTACAGGATTTGCAGCGTCGACAAACCTCGCATGACTCGCAATAGTGTGTGATGTCGCCGAGAAGGCCGGGCCACCAAAATCGCTCGCGAAGTCGGCCAATCGTTCGATTGACTCCAAAGTGTCCGGTGGCGGGAGGGTCGTAGAACTCGCCAAGAAGCCGCCTATGGAAGTGAGAGTAACTTGGAACGAAAAGGTCCTTCCCCCGCGTGTGGACAAGCAAGTACCCCTCTTGGATCCGGTAGTGCGATGGCGCCGGATTAGGAGAGGAGCAATTCGTGCACTTGTCGCGAAACTCGGGATTGGCTTAGTAGCCTCGGATGAAGGTGTCCCCCAGGTCGTCATCGATCTCGAAGGTCGAATAGACGGCAGTGCAATGATCCGGACGCCGTGAAAGAGCATCCGCAAAATGGTTTGACTTCCCCGGGATGTGATCAGGAAAGAGGTCAAACTGGCGATGAAAGCCATCCAACGGGCGATGGTGCTGTTGATCGTATCTTGGGTCTTGTAAAAGACCAACGGATTGTTGTCCGTCACCCATTGTGATTGACTTCGACCAAGGAAAAAATGCTGCCACCGCTTGAGCGCGTGGACGGAGGCTTGGAACTCTTTTCGTGCATTGTCGATTGAGTGCACAACAGGCACCTTCTTGCTGAAATATTCGACCGGGTGCCCGTCTACGCCATCGTATTGCTCGAGGATGACACCAATGCCATAGCCGAGCGCATCGGGAGGGACGCGCGTCGGCAATAACGGGTCGTAGATGCACAAGACCTCTGCGGATAATAACGCGGCCTTGAGGGCCAAAAATGAACCCCGCGCATCCTCACTGACGTCGGATGGCCGATCCTTGCATTGAAGCTTGGTCAAGTGGGCCGCGATCTTCGAGTATCCCTTTATAAAACGTTGGTAGTAGCCGGCAAGGCCAAGAAACGAACGGACATCTGTGACATTCCGCGGCTCCGACCACTCTTGGATGGCTTGAATCTTGTCCGACAACGGACTGATGCCCTCCGGTGTGACAAAATGGCCCAAGTATTCCAGTTCTTGTCGGACAAATTCGCACTTGTCGCGATTGGCTTTGTACTTGGTGCGGCGGAGCGTCTCCAACACTCGTCGAAGGTGCTCAAGATGATCCTCCAAGGTCCGACTATAAACGAGAATGTCGTCCAAGTAGACCGGCACGAACCGGTCCAACATCGCACGAAACTCGTTGGTCATTGTCGCTTGAAAGGTCGCCAAGGCATTGGTGAGGCCAAAAGGCATGACCACCCACTCAAAATGCCCATACCGCGTCTTGAACGCGGATTTATAGCGATCATTCGGGCGTATCGAAATCTGATGATAGCCCGACTTCAAGTCCAACTTGGAAAGGTACTTCGCGCCACCCAATCGCTCAAGAAGATTGTCAATACGAGGAAGAGGCTCCACATTCTTGACGGTTTGCGCGTTGAGCTTGCAATAATCGATGCACAATCGTAGATCCTTGTTCTTCTTTCATACGAAGAGAACTGGTGCTCCATATGGGGAGCTACTAGGGCGGATCTAGCCCTTGTCCAACAAGTTGTCGAGTTGTGCGCGGAGGACCGCGAGCTCCTCCTCGCTCATGCGATAGATGCAACCTTTCGGCGGCACGACACCGGCCTCAAGAATGATCTCGTGAGAGATCGGCTGGTCCTACGCCACACCGGTAGGTGACTCTAAGATGTCGCTAAACTCGTCAAGCAACCGCACCACACTGGGGTCCGAAGACAAGGTCGTGAGTGAAGAGTCGGCTACCGCGACGGTTCGTAGGAAACATAGGCCTATCTCATCGGGCTGCTCGTAAGCACAAGTAGCCCGGAGCGACTTGGCTGTCACAACTTGGCACTGGATCGAAGGATGAGGAAGAGGAATGGTACACGACACTTCGACGCCGAAGGCGTCACGGACGGTAAAAGTCTGCCGATGAAAGTTGACCGTGTGATCCGCACTTGCAAGCCAAGCCATCCCCAAAATGATATCAAAGTCCATGTCCAAGATGTCGAACGTCATTGGTTCGCATGCATGAGGTGCGAAATATATCGGTACGGCCTCGATGTAGCGGTCAATGAGTTGTTGCGTCCTTCCGTCCGCCAACTTAATCGCCGTCAGGTTTGCCTTCCTCCGAACTTGTGCGCCAAGGCCAACTCTTTGCATAAAGGCTTGGCTCATGAAATTGTGAATCGCGCCGCTATCCAGCAAAGCGCTGCAGGACGGTTGCCCAACTTGGATGCGTATATAAAGGAGTGGTGCGTTATTGTCGCCGTATCGCTGGGTGCAAAACTCGTGGGCCACCTCAACTTCATCATCCGTCGACGAAGTTGGTGGTGCATAGACTGATAAGTACGTGTGAAGATGAGCGCATAGTGCTTCACATTGCAGTCCCGACAAGCGGCCCATGGTCCGGAGAGGAAGCCATGTGTAATCCTCTGACTTGAGTGGGCCCAATACCACTATGTTGAACTCGCGCGCCGAATCCCATGAAGAACCACTTGAAGACGATAAGTCGCCGCTGCCAGACGGAGAAGATACCGCACACACGTCCTGTCCTTGAGCACGAGTACCCAGCCTAGGAACGAGGTGGGCAGCGTAGTCCTCAAAAGAATATAAGATGGGAGGACTATCGACTTCAACATGTGCCTCGGAACGAAGGGCGGCGACACGCGTAGCAACCGGTTCCGAAGGCGTCGAGAGTGTCGTCGACTCACTCTTGGCGGTGCTCACTTTCCCGATTTTTGCCTTTAGTTTTCAAAGGACAGCCCATTGTGTCGTGGAGATCACTATTGCACCACAAACAATACCAGAATCTCGTGTGTATCTTGTATACGTTCTCCGGGAGACCACAGTGGGTCCATGGGTCTTGAGCTGCTGCACCAGGCCCGGGGTTTGACATGGTGTTGGTCGTCGATTTGCCACGTCCACGGTCTTTGCTATGGCGGCCACCATCCCGGGCGGCTGCGAGTCTGTCCCCCTCATTGGCAGATGCAGCCTCGCTTGAAGGGTCAATCGTGTTGCTGCCGCGACCACGTCCACTTTCGACCGATGTTGTTCTCTGCTCAGGCCTGACGCAGGCGAACGATGAAGGTTCTTGGCCTCCGTGTCCGTGACGATTATCTGTGCGGCCTTGAAGAAGAGCTCCGCAGTTGTAGTGAGAGTCTCCGCGGCTTGAGTCAATGCGTTGGATAATGTCGGACACGACCTCGAAATGAAGTAGTGTTTGATGGCCATAAAGCCCATCGGTACGTCTGGCGTTGACGCCGAGCATTGGAACTCGACAATCCAATCGCTGCTCGGCAAGGTGTTCCGACGGCTCTATTTGGAACCACTTATGCCACGCCGCCTTCAGATCAGCCCAGCTGATCTTGGTATGTAGCTCGGAAGCCACCACCTCATGCGTGGACAAGAGATTGTCCAACCAAGCTTGGCACGTGCCCCCCGACTGGGAGTGCAAATACGCGTGTTTCTTGTCTTCGCTGGTGTGGTGGAGCTCTAACTTGAGCTCGAACTGGCGGAACCATGGAATTGGGTCCGTCTTCATAGAGTCGGAGAAGATTTCTTGTCCATCGAACTTCGGAATTGTCTCACATGTTGACGTGCTCGGGCCAGCGGCGGCAGTGCAGATCCGCTGCTCGAGTTGTTGAGTAGCCGCTTGTTGTGCCCGTGCGCCGTCCGTGAGTGTTCCGACATTAATCTCCAAGGCGTCGAGGCGATCTGCAGTCTTCGAAGAGCTGGCGACGAGGGTGGCGACGGGTCGTTGCTCCAGCTGCTTGAGGCAGCTGCTGACTTGCTCGATCTCGTTTTCGAGGGAATGGATGTCCTCCTGTTGTGCAATGCACGTCGCCAGGAGGTCAGTGAGGTGGGAGAGCAACAGCGAGATCTTGAGTCCGCTGTAGCTAAATGCGCCACCCTCGGCCTCGGTCCGCCATTCCGCTGCCATAGTGAGTAAGACTTTCTCCTCCCCGAATACCTTTTCACGTCGCTTTTTCTGCATCCTCTGCCTTCTTCTTCTCTGCGGCTGCTACCGCATCCGACCGTTGGTTCGGTAATCAAAACCAGCATCCGGACCTGATAGGCCTCGGGCGTTTCCCCTGGCTTCTGGTCCATGACGGCTGCTTGAGAGCACGTAAGCATAGACCAGGCGGGGGAAGAACTGCTGACGTGGCACTCTCTGTTGCTGATGTGGCACTGTTCCACTGCTGACGTGGCACGGCTGTTGGCTGACGTGCTGCTGATGTGTCACTGCCGACGTAGCCTGCTGGCATGGCAACTCACCAATGCCGCAGTAGGGAGACAGATGAGAAGGGAAGAAAGGAGGGTGCAACAACATAGGTGGGGGGTGGGCGGGATTGATCGCCCAGATAAGGAGCCACTAATCAAAAGGAAAACTTGGAACTTTGTAAAAAAAATTTGAGGAATTAATAAAAGAAACTTGATTTTGCAAGTTCGTTAGGTCCCCCAGTCCCCCCGAAATTCAAAATAAGTAATAATAATAAAATTCGAATTTTCAGACTGCAAATGAACAACAATAATGATAATAATGAATAATTAACAACGGAACTGCGAAAATTATCCGCAAGTTCCACGAATTCCGAAAAATGAAAAAATTCGGAATTATCAGATGAGAGTTTGCGCAGAAAAAAAATGAACTGCCAGAGAGGTTTTCCGTAAAAAAAAAAAAAAAAAAAAAAAAAAAAAAAAAAATCGGAATCTTGAAATAATGGAAAAACAACAAAATAATGGATTTCGGAGTTACCGTTACCACTAAAATGCGTGAAAATAAAGAGATCAACGCACAAACAACATTCAAAAAAACATTCGGAATTCTCGGAATAACGGAAAATAGCGAAAAAAATGCAAATCGAAATTTCTGTGATGTGTGAATCCGAAAAAAAAAAACATATCCATGCAATATTCCAAAAGGAAAATAAAATATTTCGGATTTTCCAACAACGGAATTTCAAAATTCAGATAAAACGAGAATCGGAAATTTCAGATGCTGCGCTATTTTGGAAGCTGTGAGTTTTCAACAAACGAATTTGCACAAAAAAAAATTCCGAAAGAATTTTTTTTTTCGATTTTCGGCAGTTAGGTCAAAGTTCGCAATTTTGGGGACTCATTACTGTGACCTAATCAATCAATCAATCAATCAATCAATCAATCAATCAATCAGTCAATCAATGACCAATCAATCAATCAATCAATCAGTCAATCAATGACCAATCAATCAATCAATCAATCAATCAATCAATGGTCCCCGCACATGTGTCAGATCAGGTTTCTCCTGATTCACGTGCGGGGCTCCGATACCAACTGATACATGCCCGGTTGGGCAATGTACATCGAGCCAAGGATCCGCAATGTGATGAAAAGGACCGAATGGACAAGGCAATGTCAGTGAAACATCAACACGCAATGTGCATCCTGATACATACAAAATGGCACAAAGTAGCGCAGTGGAAGACTTAAGGATAAGTCCTGACCTGACCGGGTCTGACGCGACATCCCATCATACACCACACATGTGAGAGGAGGAGGAGGGACCACACACATGGAAGAAAGGTCCCTCCTTTGTACACGCACATGGGGAGATACCACAGATGAGAGATGGGGGGAGAGGCGAGACGAAGATGGAGGCGAGGGAGAAGACCGAGATCGCAATAGCAAAGTCCAAAAATAGTCCCTTGCCGATGCCCAATCAATGTCAGCCTCAAAAATGTCGGATCAGATCCTGGGCGCTCTGCCCACAGTAACCTCTGCCTGTATCCTCTCTCTCTCTCGTATCTGAAGAAGAAGAAGAAGAAGAAGAAGAAGAAGAAGAAGAAGAAGAAGAAGAAGAAGAAGAAAGAAAAAGGAGGAAGAAGAGGGAGGAAGGAAGGAGACGAGAGGGAGACCGGCGAAGGAGAAGAAGATGTCACCTTCCTCGCTGTCTCACCTGCAGGTGCTACCGCCCAACTGACCACTGTCCTATTGTCGTCGTGTGCAGGTCGCGGGTGCACAAGGAGTCTCAGCTATGGAGCCAGGTAAGTCCCCTAACGCAGGTATGGCCTCCGCCCCTCTGCCTTCCAGTGTTCAGCCTCCAACTCCGCAGCGCAACGCTAAACAGCGCCTTGCTCAACCAGCAGTGTGTCGCTCAAGAAGTGAGCTACTCTAACTGTCTTTGCCCAGCTATAAGTAGCGCTGGGCCTGCTGGGCGCGCCTCAGGTACTGGCCTCAAAACGGCCTACTTGGTATGGGCCCCTACCGGGTATCCAGACCGCGCTGCTGATGCAGCGAGCCAAAACGCGCCTGGCCTGAAAACAGCCTCGTCCCTGTGTACCTGGCCCAAGGCGTCGCCTTGGGACCTGCAGTCCGAAACGTCGTCTGCACAGACAAATGTAGGACAGCACATCACCAAATAAATAAATGAGTGAGTGCTGCCTCATTGGCACCTGCGGCCTGTAGGGCCGCCGTGGGCCTCCAGGGCGCAGCCTGGGGGCCTCTCAGCAACCGTCGGGGCCCTTAACTGGGGCCCATGTGCAGGCGCAGCATGAGAGAGAGAGAGAGAGAGAGAGAGAGAGAGAGAGAGAGAGAGAGAGAGAGAGAGAGAGAGAGAGAGAGAGAGAGAGAGAGAGAGAGANTTTCACCGACTCATTAGGAGGCTGAACCCTCAACAGTCTGCAGAGTCCCCTCACTGATTACACTGTAAATGATAATCTACCTTAACCAAAATCAAGGTAGACTATCACTCACCCACACCAGATGGAAAACTCTACAGACTGTTGGTTCACACCCCATCACAAGCCAGCAAAACATCCACGGAACAAAGAAAGGTCTGTCACAGCCAAAAAATACACTCCAGACACGCCGCTGGCACTAGAGGCACAGCATGGCTGCCTAGTAACGGCCCCGACCACTGCCGCTCGACCTGACCGGAAAAGCCGTAGCAGGAAGCTAGCGAAGTCGTAGCATATATCGTCACAAACAGAACTGCCCGGTAAACCGTAGGCAGAGAGAGAGAAGAGGACAACAAACGAGGGGCTGTCAAGGCTAATTCTTTAAGCCCAACCAATTCAATTACCTGTCAAATCTGGACAGGATGGCCTTTCAGGCTTTTTTTTCTGTCATTGTAGTATTACGGGGAACCCTGTAGCAGCCACATCCGTGCTCAAGCATCCAACGAGGGAACATGTGGGAGCTGCATGCAGGAGCTTCATCCACCGTTGGCCCACAAGTTGTAGAGTGGCAAAAATGGAAAACATGACGAATTGGCGCGGCATTTATTTCATGGGCTTTTTTTTTTTTTTTTCATTTCTCTGATATTTTTCCTGGAAAGATCACGACCTAATCTACAGGATCTCAAATTTTCAGATTTTTTTCTTAATTTTTCTGAGCGCAAAAAATCGCCAAAGTTGGCGCGTGGAAATTGCAGGACTGGACCCGCCTGCGGCTGCAGGTCGGCGCCCCCCCTTAAGACCCGCTCCCAACTCACCGGAATGCCACTTTTCGGTGTCGGGTAGAGTGGTGGTTTAAACCCTTTGCCAACCATAGGTGATGCAATACGGCGAACCTACAAGTGCACCCTCTGGTCAAGCCCCACTGGGCTTTGTTTTGCTGGAGCAGGATGGAACCGATCCAAATGCATGCAGGTCCATGCGATTCTCGCAAGGGGGGTGGGGGGATAGTCATATTAGTATGATATTACTAACACCAAGGAGCAGTAGGAGAAAGTAGTAGGACATGTCAGTGTCTACATCTTATCCCAAAGGGATGGACTTGAGTTGTTGTTGTGCACATTAGGGATACCCCCAGGGGTGATTACACCGAAGACGGAAGGTATGCCCTTTGTCACATCAAGAGTAAGTTGAAGATACAGGAGACGAAGGCACAGGAGAAGAAGAAACAAGCAATGTTGGTTACGAGGTGACAACGTCTCCCGCACGTTCTACTCAACAGATTCCTGTTTTGTGTGCCATGGGGGTCACTAGACAGCTGGAGAATCGGGTTGCCAATCAATTCTTTCTTCAGGGTGGCCTTCCTCCATTTGCATTAATGGGGTGGTAGATATCAATTGTTTGAAAAATCGGTGGCAGAAGATGAGTGGTACAACTAGAGCAGGTACAACATGAGCAATATTAGATAATACATACCTACATAAGCTAGGCATATTAACCTGGTGTGCCTCAGGGAAGGGCACAATCTTGATGGATTCCACCGCGACTTGTGATACTAACGAAGCATGTGCATTGAGCAGTTATTGAACCACCAGTGCCTTTGGCGTTTCTCGTGCCGAGCCTGGAAACGCCCTGCATGCCAAAGAAAATGAACCAGCGCAGACCTCCTTTTGGTGCCGCCGGCCATTTTGCCCTGGTAGGCCGACCTGCGGAAGTTGCGGTGCGTTAATGGCCGCATCTGAAAAAATGGCTGGGCGAGGTACTGGTGGTCTAAGGGTTCCCCTGGGAAGAAGAAAAGACATGTCCGTGTTAAATGAGGCACCAGAGATGAGAAAAGGGATTTCACAAAAATATTTAATCATGTGTAGGGAGATCATCTGTTACGGGGAGAAGGGCTCTCTCTCTCCTGTCTCTTATACACATCTAGATGTGTATAAGAGACAGGCGTGAGAGAGAGAGAGAGAGAGAGAGAGAGGGTTTGGGCTTAGAAGGCTTGGGAAGGTCGCGTATCAGATGCTTAGCCTACCTTGCACAACTTCCACACCATTGACAGCAGCGTCAAACGCATACATAGTGAAGGTTGGTGGGCAGTCCACAATCTTATCACCAGGGTCCAGCGTGCACCTGCAAACCAGAGACAAAAATGAGGGTGAAACTTGCAACTTCACTACAATACATGCATCATTACTCGTGAACCACTGTCAAATTGCATGAGAGCCCCAAAACCCAAGGAGGCATTGAGCTGCTAGTTCTCTCAACCGTCCAAGCTGGGATTGCAGATCTCAAGGCTGCGCAGAGCCTATCCAATACTGAAGATTGCATTTCAAATTGAAACTTTGCTTATCAAGTACATAAGGAGAATCAACATGTCACCACCACACATATGTGAAATCAGTGAGCAATGACAACATGATTGCAGTTTAGTAATCTGTCTTCCACCGTTGAAACACCTCTTGTAAAACTAGCGCAACACATACATAATGACATGCTTTGACAATCTTGCATTATTTATCAACAACAATACTCTGAATTTTATTGGCCGTAGGCCGCTTCAACCTCCGGCTGTATTGCATGACAAGTCTCCTCATACGATGTGTTTACATCTCACGGACAGAGCGATCGTGCTGTGGGACGGTACATGGGGGATTCACAGCACAATTTCTGTCAGAATGCTGCAGTCGCAAGACGCATTTGAACTGCGATCTGCCTCCCACCACAATTTTCCACTTTTCATCAGGGCGTTGGTTTTCGCCGTAATCCACGGCACTGTTTTTCACTTTTTGTCAGGGCCTTCGTTTTCGTTTCACGCTTTTGCAATTCATGTAAGGCGTAGTGTGCTGGGATTTCGTGTCAGTGCTTATGTTTGTTTCCATCTGGTTTCGTTTTCGTTTGTTTTCCATTGTGGACCTGAGTTCACATCGAGTTATACTCTCCTGATCTCCTTTTTTTCCCTTATCTCCTCTTTTTTACAGTTCCTGTGCAGAAAAGTCGCACGGCCTAGCACAGTTAGTACACCCATGAGCTGTTGAAATAGAGAGTCAAACAGACCTGAACTCCGCAAAAGTTATCTTTTTTTCCTTTCCATTTTTGCAAACAAAGTTGCAACATGTGTCAACGGCTAGCTGAACTTATTTCCAATTTTGCAAACAAAGTTGCAACATGTATCAACGGCTAGCTGAACTTATTTCCAATTTTGCACTCTACCACACAATGTGTTCACATATGGAGATACAGACAATAAAATGGGCAGAAACAGACGTACAGAGACAAACAGACACTGATCCCTCATATAATTCTTGCACCGTACCCACTATTCACCGGAAGAATAACCTCAATTCGTTGTCATCTGTCCACACAGTTTCTGTTCCAAACGTTGTTCAGGTGCCTGATGATTCGATATATTGTATTCGAACTTCGAAGTTTGGTTCGGTCTTTAATCCACCACTACCTCTCCCAGTTTTTTGGCCTGAGGATGTTAAGCGCGTAGCCTAACCGTACCAAAATGGCTGGTGTCGGCAGCGAAAATTGCACCCCCACCAGTTCGCTTTTTTGTTTTGGATCGTGGCAGCGATCTGGGTCGGTAGAAAGAAGCTCGGAGGTCGTCGTGGTGGTTTAAATAATGAAAAAGAAATACAACTCGAATGTCAGTCACAACCAGGTGAGCACTCAGTCACCCCCCCTTTTTGTTTTCAATGCTTATTCACGCTCTGTTGGTAGTAACTTTGTACTCTTTCATCTCATCTTTTTTTTTTCCCCACGTTCTGTGCACCCCTCCTTTTTGTTTTTTTACTGCTTATTCAATCTCTGCAGCACAGTACAAGTCATGTGCCTCTCAGTGATACATCCTCTATGGAACACAGTGAATCCAACTTTTTCATCGCTAATCAGTGTAATCACTTATCAACATTTTGATTCCGCAGCCCCTGTTCTCCTCCCTCCCAATGATTGGATCATCATCAATACTCCTTTGGTCACGCCAGCGGCGCCACACTGCCTTCGTCTTCTATCCTCTAAATCGTGTGCTCCAAAGATGGGGACAAGTGCATAGGACCATGGTATCCCACGAATTTGACTCTTGACTCTTGAGTCTGGACCCTTCCTTTCCCCAGACCATTTCGTCCTTTCCCATGATTTAGACTCTGACGACCTTTCTTTTCCCCTGACATTTTTCTTTTCTTTTTTTTTTTTTTCTTTTTTTGTTTTACAAAAAACTTGAAAAAAGCAAAGCCCCATCTATTCTGGGGGGCATCAGTCCGTTTTCCCCAGACCTTTTCCAGGCTTTTCGTCCTGTTCTTTTTTTTTTTTTTAATTTGGCAGATTTTGACTCACCTCATAATCAAGTCAATGAGTTCATCTGCTCCGCAGCCTGCGAGCAGGTATTCCATCTCAATGCCAATGTCTTTTGACAATGCCGCACGTAAGCGGCGGCTCTCAGGATCAGGATATATATTTGGGAAATCCATTGAACCAAGAGCTTGCAAAACCTGCAAGAAGAGGAACAAGCCCAGCATTGAGGATGTGATTTGCTCCCAGCTGAAATTGTCATGCCGGGTTACTACCACACTTTTCTTTTCTCAGGTGTGTGTGGTTCAACTTTTTCAAACAATCACCACAGCAACCCCTTTTGCATCCAGATGCATAGATGCCATAGTGAAACAATCTGACAATGTGGTCCCCACCATGTGGTAAAATTTTGATGAAATGGCCATTTCAGTGTTGGATTCTTAATGGTGCAACGCCCTCCCACATCTGTGCACTTCAGCTAGGACACATACAGTTTGGCGCACACACTTGTTTCCCTTGAGGCACACTGGCACTATATTTCTTTTCTTGTCTTGCTTGTACTTATTTGTGGTGCGTCTAACAGTTCTCCAGGTGAGAAAAGGAGGGGAAGAGCGAGAGGGAAAAGGAAGGGGAGGAGGAGAGAAACAAGGGGAAGAAAACAGGAAAGACCCCATTAGCTCCTGAATACTAACTGACACAGCAGTCTTCGATGAGAGGCAGTAATCTCGCATGGGTTGGGTCGCACAGGCGGATGAATGCAGGAGCAAGTGCTGACCAAGAAGCAGCAGCCCCTACAGATCAGGCAGGAGTGGTTTGGGTGTCACTTGTGAGAGCACCGCATTCAATCCTCACAGTTACAGTCACTGTGTGGAATTGCACAGCGCAGGTAGATGCTACGCTGTGGCACAGCCTCCACAGTTATATAGCCACCACACTTCCAGTCCCTCTATACAGAGAAGACATTGCAAGAGAGGGGGCCAAGGATGAGTAAACGAGGCACTGTCATCAGAAGTGCGGAAACAAAGACTTGCATGGACCATACCCTCGTAGAGACCACGACACACTCAGAAAAAAGAGGCCCGGAGGTAGTGGTGGTTTAAGGAACAGCTCTTGTATGAGGGGGGCATAGCAAGGATAAAGGGTAGTTCTCTTATCTTTGGGGATTGGGGGGGAATGGACTCAGAACCCCAAAGGGAGGACACAGGCGAAGAGGAAGGATGCCTTCGCAGGGAAGGAACGCCGCAACAAAGGAACGTAAAAAGGCGACCAGTTGCACTTGAAGGGATCCCCAGAACCTGGACACTAGTCCTCCACCAGATTCAGATAAAGTTTCAGAAAGTCTCGCGGTGACAGTTGAGAGGTGTTGGGGTGCAACATTCAAATCCATCAGGCGGCCGATGTAGGCTGAAGAGGCCGCGCTGTCCGCACAAGGTTCAAGGAGGTCAGGTAGAAGTCGAAATCGGGGAAAGGCCCTGGGGATAGAATTATCTGACTGAATTTGTCTGACTGAATCAAGTGATGCTGGACCCGGTTTCCAGCAGGGGAAAAGAGCCCAATGATTGTACAATGAGACACTGGACCCGTTTAGCAGGTGAGGCTCCCCAACAATAGATTGGAGCGCCCAGGGCCGGATCTGCTAGCAGAGGAGGTTCCCACCACCCCCCGCCAGCAGAACCCCCATTTAAAAAAAAAATATATTAGTTTCAGAAAGTATTGGATCTGGAACCATCCGCCAAAAAGAGCAGAGCAACTGGATTCCTACAGCTGGTCTAAAAAGGCAGGGTTAACCAGGCATCTACACATGGTTAACCATGGCGGTTTTCTTCGCTGAATTTCGCACTGAAACTGTCACATTGGCCATGTTGCTTGTGGTGGTGCGGCAAAAACAGTGAATTTTCGGCCCTCCGTTAACCATATGCCTGTCAGAACACTACATAGATTTGTGTGAACTGGTGGGAATATTCAGTAGTTAAGGAGGACCAGGGGTGACAAGACGTAAATCCTTCCTCCACAGGAAGTAATCAATGCCACTGTCTCAGGGTCCCTCGGCCATATAACAGGATGCCTCGGGTGAGGGACACTCGACCCTGTTTCCAGCCTATGTAACAAGTACACCAGTTTTGTTAAAAGAAGAAGAAAAAAAAGATCCTTTTCAGACCCTGCTGCTCTCCTTTGCTCTCACTGTAATACACCCAACCCACACCACAGCCGGTGTCCCCCCCTCCTCCCCTCCCAACCCAGCAACAAAACTACTTTTGTCGCTGTTGTGCACCTTTCTTTTCTTTGCCACCACAGTAGGAGCGAGAGACAGAAAAGAACGGGTGTGGGGGAAAACAATGGAAAGACATGTGACAAGGACGATATTAAGGAAAATAAAGGCCAAGGAGGGAAGGAAAGAAAAGAGTCCATTTCCAATTAACTGGCACAGAGAGAGACTAACATGGCTGCTGTGCACTGACCACACACACAAATCGAGAAACGACCCATAAAAAGGGGAAAGAAAACAACAAAAGAACCACAATTTTGTGGCAGCTAGCGATGCCTGTCTGCGCTGGGGCTGAAAATTTGGGTGCCAAGATTTTAAATTTACATGGCCTGAGCAACTTCAAAAACACAACAACGTGTAAGTCTACGAAAAAAAATGGCAGTGGGTATATTCAACAAGGACACTATCAAGAGCGATCCAAGTGGGAGTACGCCCTCAGAACATAAACACAGAGTGGCTGAGAGTGCCATTTAAATTCAGGACAACATAGGGATTAACTCATCACTCACTAAGACTATCGGAAGTGGATCTGGCTGTAAATGGGGTCAGATGCATCCACGAAACTCCTCGTGTGAGTATGCCCTAAGAGAAGAAACCACGTCTACTTACCTCAGGAGGTGGCCCATACAAGTTCTCATTGGCATCAAGCTTCACAATCTCGGTAACATCGAACCCCAGACGGGCTGACAGAATCTGGATTCAAGAAAGGAACAGCGATGACGCCATGTAAGTTAGAAAAAAAATTAGAAGCACAGTGCACACGCCAAAATTTACAGGAGTAAGTACTAAGTATCTATTTTGTACAGAGAAAGGAACAAGGGCAGGGCAATAGACGCAGTTGGCAGAGGAAGGGCAAAAGAATGAGCATACGTTCGATTTCTTGCTGCCGTGAGAGGGGTTGTGGGTGGCCATGGGGGTGGTGGGGCTGCCGGAGAATCGGGGGTTGGGGGGGGGGGGAGGATGAGCTCTGGCTTGCTCCAACTTTTTTCAGAGCAACCAGGGTTGCAAAAACCCACAACCATAAGCTGATGCGAGTGCCAACTGGCCCGTGGTCCGCAGGCCACGGACACTGTCCAACTTGCATGGAATCCCGATTAAGCGAGCGATACGTCGGTAAATGCCAAAAGCCCGATGGCCACTATCTCGGAATCTGTGGAAGTGGGACCTTGCCCCTGGTCAGTGAAGGTGGTCAGTCTCTTTTCCACAACTCTGCGGTAGGCGGCTACTAGGACAGGAATACATACCAGATCAGACACCTGTTCTTTCACTTCGAAACCCATTAGGAACTCCTTTGCTACGTTGATTTCCTTTCTTTCCGTTTTGCCTGCCTTCTTTTCGCAGTCAGGAGCATCACCAAGAGTCCGTTTTCTACCAGTTGAATGAAAAACATGAGGCCATAAACTCCGGGGACGAACAACCCAGTGTTTGTTACGGCTACAAAAGGCCTCCGGAGCCAAGGCCGAATCTGGCCTCATTCAGGTTGCATCTCTTACCCAGCAAATGCTGACCATTCACTTTCCTTTGCCAGACGCTTGTTCCTCTAGGTTTTCTTCTCGTTCTTTTAAACCGCCAGTACTTTGTCACGGGAAGATTTCTGAGACGCGGCCATCCACGCACCATGTCCTTCGGGATGTACCGGTGTGCTGCGTGGCAGAAAACAGATCCAGGCAAAACCGTGGCATTGCACGGCCCCATTTTGCCTGGACGAATAACGCGCCGCTTGGCAGGCCGGTTCATCCCGACAGATGCTGTGCGTGGCGTGCCAAGTCGGAGAAAACTTTAATCAGGCTAGTCCCAAACAGGATTCTATCCAGCTCAAATTCAACTCTTGGTCTGTCTGTCAAAGTTACACGTGTATATCACTGTATAATAATGTATACCGTTCACGCAAAGTAGGCACAATTGTTTGCGCCTACCTTTTTTTCTTTCTTGTCAAAGCAGGCCCTTATGGTCCCGGCTCCACGGGACCCCGTCCACTCTGGCATGCATCCGTCCAGTTCCTTTACCACTGGTGCCCCAGCTTCGATTTAATAAATTTGAAAAATTCGAAGAACGCATCATTCCATTGGTGGGGAGCTGCACCTTCTCAAAAACGGACCCAGTGTCCCATGAATAAGTGATTTAGGGAAAAACTGCTGGAAACTAGATCCGCCTCCCCAATGTTTGCCCATCCTGATATTCTCTTCGCTAGATGGGGATCTCCCTAACCTCCCACCCTCAAGATGGACATTATTTTTTTCCCTCCAAGATGGAAGATTGTCCCGTAGCCGCACATTGATATTCTCTCGCTTGGCTAGAAATGCTGCTGCCATTTTCCCCATTGCTCTCTCCGAAATGATTACATTGCGCACCTGACTGTGAGCTGAACTGCTGTTCTTGATTTCCAGCGATCTCCTTGTCCTTCGTTCCTGCCCTCACTGGATCATCTGCAATGACGCCGCTCTCTGACGGTGATCCTACTCCACTAGACTATTTTTTTTCTTTTTTCGCTGAAGACATTCTTTGTCTTTTTCAAAATTTTTACTTTTTCTTATTCCTAGAACATAATGAACATGACAAACTGCACCAGCCAAACAGCGGAGAATCATGATACAAACTTTCTTCTTCAAGGGTCAAGGGAGGGTACCAGGCCTGCGACTCTTCTTATGGTTACTTTTCTTTTGTTACTTTCCCTCCTTCCCCCCATCTTTTTGCCTTTCCTTTTGGCATCTGGAATGCAGGGCCTCCCACAGCCACCCAATAGCCACCTCCCGGCTGTTAAACCACCACTCTACCCGACGTTGGAAAGTCGAGGGATCCGTAGCACACGTTCACGAGGCTACCGGTAGCATTGTGTGGAGAACCGGCACAGCGGCGACAATGGAAAATGCGATGAATTGCCGCCACAAACTATTTCGTGGTTGAAACCGTTTTTTTTTTTTATAGTTTTCCTGCAAAGATCACATCCAAATATACCGACCCTCCAATTTTCAGATTTTTGTACATATTCTTCTGAGCATGAAAAATAGCTGATATATATATATCGTCAAATAGAACTGCCCGGTAAACCGTAGGCAGAGAGGGAGAAGAGGACAACAAACGAGGGCTGATATATATATATCTATATCTACATCTATATATATATACTGAGTGGGGATCCGGGCCGTCCGGGTGACCGGCAGGGGCCCGGGGGAGGTCCTAGGCGGCCTGGCCGGGCAGGGCACCCGGTTGGGGGCCAGGCCCCCACAGCGCACTCACCTGTCGGGGGATTTCGGACCCTTTTCGGACCCCCTTTGTGTGTGTGTGTGTGTGTGTGTGTGTGTGTGTGTGTGTGAGAGAGAGAGAGA